ATATATATATATATATATGTTTTGCAATGCAACTTGTTATTTCACATCATTGGTGATATTTTAATTACCATACCACTTACTTTGTTCTTCTTTTCAAAAGATTTTCCTACTTTGTTAAATAAGGAAACAATGACCGCCACATCATTTGTGGTAAATAAATTACTACAAAACTTTTATAAGGAAGTTTAAGATTCTTAAAATTCATAATTCAACGCGCATTTCATTGTGATTCCTGTAAACTGCACGTATTCATCCCACCTATTCTTCTTCTTCTTCTTCTTTTTTTTTTTAATTGAGTCCTCCCCTTTACACTACATCCCAAATTCCCAATTATATTTTATGAACAGATCGAATGAATTGCATTAGCTAGAACTATCTCCAATTAGGCCATTCATTCAATTGAACCTTAAAAACATTAAACATGACCTACTTTTTTGAAGTATAAATCGTGGACTCCCTACTTGCTTGTCAACGAACGTTACATGGTTTTACTTGAAAATATTTAGGGTTAAGTATTTGAGTTAATCATGTATACACTGTCAATGTAAAGTTTTTTTTTATACTAGTAACCAATCATATATTTTAATAGTGTCATGTCAGTTGCTTATTTAATGAAATAATAATAAAATAAACAACTTTAAAAGATATGATTGGTTGTTACTGTAAAAAACTTTATATTGGTATATTGTATGGATAATTAACTTTAAGTATTTTTGTGTTGAATTACCGGACGCCTTTGACAAGTATAAGAGTCAGCATCATAAGGGTATTAATTAATGCAGTTTACATTAACCGGTGACTCTCAATTACCATATGAATTCCAGATCAACTAATGTATATATGAAATAACTTGTTGCGCATAACCAAGTTGAAGAAGGGTCACTCTTTCTCCAATTCTCCTTAATTTGGTCAGAAACTTATGTCCATACAAAATTTCTTTCATGTTCATGTGTGTGTATTTAATTTGACCTTCCGCATTAAATGAACGTATAAACATCCAACTAAACACATATTGATGGTGACATAACATAGCGAAACTCATGAATCGCACTCTTTGTAGTTTGTAGGGAGTAGGCCCTAGGGCAACCACTATTATTTTGTCTTTTATTTTTTGTTAGGGAAGAAATATTCAAAGTTTGAACGTTCAGAAGGACTTGAAACTACAAACTTGAAAAGCGAGCGTTCACCGACCTCAAGTTGTGTGCAACACATGATCCCAGAAAAGCCCATGATCCAATAAAGTGGCCCCCACGTCCGGCTTCGAGTATATGAAAATAATGTATAGTTTAATTATTACATGATCGATAAAATCTCTATTCTTAGGTGGACCATATGGACAACAATATTAATTTATATGTTAATGTATACCTTCTTAAATTATATCAATTCATATTCCAATGAGTGTTCATTTCTTCATGCCGTAAAATGGTCGTGTCGAAGGGGTGGCAGTACCGTGTGCAAGCTGTTGCTTTCTGTACAAACAAGTGTAGAGGGTGGAAATTTATCTCGAGTCTGTGTATTTCAATTTGAGTTCTTTTGGTTGAATAAGTGATTTTTTTTATATCAATTCAAACAATAACAGTGTTTTACTTTCAACTTGAAGATGCCTATAAATTAAATTAAAACCTCAATTTAGATCAACACTTAATTGTTGACAAGGATTTAGTCTTGATTTTTTAAATCAAATTTCATAATAATATCATTTTTAAATTTAGAGGGAGTGATAATGAACCGAACCAACTCAAAAATAGTTTAAAATCCAATTCGATAATTAATTTGTTGAAGTTGGTCCATGAACCAAATGGATTAAACTTGAGTTATAGATGATTCAATAAATAAATGAGTTGAACATGAGTTATGTATAATTCAACTCATTTACTTAATTAATTAGCTCAATATATAAATATATAATTTATATGATTAATTTCTTATTTAATTTATGCTTATTAAAGTTAAAAGAACTTGCAGAACTTAGTTATAAGTTAATAATAATAAAAGAAGTGAACACTTTAGAATTTCAAGGTTATGATTGAGTTTTCTACTATTTTATGTAAGGTGAAGTAATTTTAATTTATACAAAGTTTAGTTGTAATCATGTTTCTTTAGACTCATATCTTGTAATCTTGCAAAGCTAGCTAATAGAATAGGTTATGTTTTACCTTTTAAAAAAGATAAACAATTATTTTGTTTAATATATATTATGGAATTGAAATTTTGAAATATATAAGATTAAAAAAAATTGAGTTTTGGTTCATGTAATTCGAGCTAACAAGCTGAATTGAACTGCTAGTAAACTTAACCAAGTCAAGTTCTAGATAGAAAAAAGATTCATGGTGAACACAAATTGAGTTACAGACTAAATCAAATGTTATTGATGATGTGGTCAAGGACTTTCCTGAAATTTTTTTTGATGAAGTGCTAGGATTACCTCATAGATGTGGTGTAAGGCCAAAATCACAACTCCTTATTAGTTGACACCAATTGGGTTAGGAGACTTTAAGAAGCATATATGTGGAAGAGTTGCTTGAGAATAAATGATCAGATCCAAAGTTTTCCCATGCGGAGCACTAATTGCGTTGGTGAAAAAAGACAATAATTAAATGGTGTGTGTGGATTATCACTAACTAAACAATATAACTATCAAGAACAAGTACCCTTAAATGACTCGATGGATCAACTATGTGGGGTGACTATTTTTTCTAAGATGGACATGATTTGGGTATCATCATATAAGAGTGAAAGTGGAACATACGTCAAAGCAGGTGTTTTGCACTTAGTATGGGCAATATGAGTATGTGATAACGTTTTTTAATTTGGTGTAACAAATGCTTCAACAATATTTATGAAATTTTAGACAAGTTTGTTATTGTATTCATTGATGACAGACTAGTTAACTCATGTTTTTCGGAGGAACATGAGGAACACCTTAAAGTTGTTTTGGAAATCTTGAGGGAGAAATGTTTTTAATGTTTTTATTGAATTCAACCAATGGAGTTGTAGTGGATTCAACCAACATGGAGATTTTTGTATAGTGGAAACGAGTTAAGACAATCACATAAATAAGAAGTTTTTTATTAAGTTAACTGGTTATTATCGAAAGTCAATTTAAGGTTTCTAAAAAATAGTGATGTCATTAACTCAACTTATTAGAATATATCGATCTTTTTCTTAGACAAAAGCTTATGAGATGAGCTTTCTGGAGTTGAAGCAGAGATTAAGTACCTCTCTTGTGTTGTTGTTGTCTAATCCTAATGAACCTTTTTAGCTTTATTATGGTACATCTCACAAAGGGCTAGGGTGGGTGCTAATGCAAAACAGGAAAATGGTTGATGCCCTAAGTAGAAAGTCAGTGCATATGGCAACTTTGATGGTGAAAGAGCTGAAACTAATAAAGAATTTTAGAGATGAGTTTTCAAAGATCGCCTCATATCACATTAGTTGTGGTATGACTATTGTAATTATGAGTTCCTTAGGATGGTGAAAGAAAAATAGTTGTAAGATCCTAACTTGTGAATAAGAGAATTGTTGGGTACTATAAAATAATTGACTTTACTGTAGTTATTAATAGCATCTTAAGATTCGAAGGAAGAAATTGAATTCCTTGAAACCCTAAACAAGTTTCAGAAAAAGGTCATAAGAGTAAGCTCAGTCTGCATACTAGCATGACTAAGATGTACCTAAACTTGAAGAAAGTATTATGGTGGTCTAACATGAAGATAGATGTCATAGAATATAAGCTACCTTGTCTAGACAATGGAGCATCCCATTATTTCTGAAATCAATTTCCTCTTCAAGATAAAAAAAAATAATATATATATATATATATAGACTAAATTGTGTTTTTAGTTTCTCTATTTTTGTCAATCTACAATTTTGGTCTCCCTATTTTAAAATATAGACATCTAGTCCTTCTATTTTTAAAAATATGAAATTTTAGTCCTATTGTCAACTTAATGTTTATTGATGTAATATTTAGTGACATGACATATAAAGATAAATAAAAAAATAACATGCAAAAAATATTCATTTGCATCAATTATGACGTTTAATTGATATTTATTTTATTAATAAATCTTACATGTTATTTTTTTAGTTATTTTTTTCTCTAAATGTCATGTTACTAAATGTCACATTATTTATGTATAAGTAGATGTTACACCTTAATTATT